ATATATATATATATATGTATATATATCTATAAAACATAAATAAGGCAGTGAGTTTAAAAAGAAAAATCATAAGAATCTGGCTAAGAGAACTTTTACGATTATAATTTTACGATTGATCGTAAAACTCACCAAGTATGAATCAGATATATACGACACTATCATACATGCGTTTCTACCGTTAATTCGTAACCAAGCTTTGAGAAATCCTGTTTCGAACGATGGCACTTCTAGCCAATACCACAATAATCTTATATTTATAATGATCCTTCTGCATATTTTCTGTCTATCGGTCATACATAATATATTTAACTTTTGTTTTCATATTAAAATACATGCTTTATAAATTTTCCTTTCATCCTTTCGAGATCATACTTCTAATTTCCTATTAAATATAATTGTATGTATGTAAATATAACAAAACATTGAGATTCCTCTTCTTGCAATATCCTAATATTACGAATTAGAAGAGAGAGATACGATTTATAACAACTTAGTTATATAGAAATCCATACTGTTCTGCCTTTTTCTCTCATTTGTTGTTCCAAAAAAAAAAAGGGAAAATTCTAAAGCCGTATAAAATAAATAAAATTGTTTGCTGGGAAAGAAACATGTGCACATCTAAGAATTATTTTTTTATTATTTTCGAATATACAAATATTCAAATGATATATAATTATGCAAGATTTCTAAAACATAAGGAAGCAGAGAGATTATCGATGATATTAATAATGGATAATTTTATTGTATATCATGCTACAAATAATCTCCACAGCAATATTTATTAAAATAACATTGTAAAAACTGATATATATTGCATATAGTTTATACATCAATAACTACAGTGATATTAAAATTCTTTCTAGTGCACTGTGATATGATTAATAACATTGTATTTTTATATTGTACGATTTTATTCGATGCATGTTTACAAATATTAAACTTTCTTTTCCTCGGTGATTAAAAACAAGAAGAGGAATTTCCATGATTTATGTGAATCGTTTATATTGATGCTGACACTGGCGACACCATCCGACATTTTTGATTTTTTTTAATAAACGTTATTTTTAATGAAAATAAACGAGTTCTTGTAGATTTGGTTGTAGAAACAACAGTTAAACTTGTTTCTACTAGAAATCAATCTTGTGAGTAACATCGATTCGATCGATGATCCCTTTTTTATAAACGGAATAAAATGCATTCAATGTAAGCAACTACAGAGCAATATAAAAAGCAAGCATAGCTGACAATATCATACAGAACGCAGCAATATAAAATTTAATTTTCACACATTTTATGTTACAATCAAAGCACAATTATACTTACAGGTTCCTATTATATTGAATATATAGTATTGAAAACGATGGTTTTTACTTTGCTCTTAGATACAAAAGTGAATGATTATCGCAAATCTAAAGAAATCTGTATTACGCAACGCGATTGTGACCAAATTTTTAATAAATCAAGAATGCATACACAGATATATGTACGTACGTATGTATATGTATATAAGTTTCTTTTCTCATGTTCCAGAAATACTTTACTCTCTACTAAATGTGTCAATGCATCGTATACAAATACAATCGAATAAAAAGGTTTAAAAGCGACAAGAGAAATTATAAGTAATGAAATATATTTATTGTTTTCGCCCTTACCAATCTATATTACATTACATCTTATACAATCTATTTTTATGTAAATTTTTCTCGTGTTAATGTAATAAAAGGTTATCTACAATTAGAGCAATATGGTGCAGTAAGCCATAAGAAATCAATTAATCACAATTAAATGTGAAGTCAATTTCTTACTAATCAATTTCTTATTAGTTTACTGTATAATATTATCCCTATTATAGATGAACACAACATTTGATTTTGGAATTATGTATTATGTTTTATCATGTCAATTTTTAATCATCTTTGATTTTCAAAATTTGTTTCTTCATTGCAGTTATATTGCAACAGAACTTATATAAGAGAAATTATATAATTTTTTTTATTTAAATGAATAACGCGCATACTTTGTTTTTATTTAAATTCAATAAATGGTTATAATAAAAATATATAAAAACTTAAAATTTTATAATTGAATGTAAAATAAATTCTTTTTCAAAATAAATACTGTCGTATTTTTTTTGATTCATTTATGTAAAATATATGTGTCTCTCTTTTTAAGAAATGATTGTGTAAAAAATAAGTATTCTTCAGTCTTACATCTTTTTTACTGTTTTTAACTATAAGTAATTTAAGATATGATTCTAATATATTTTATTCATACGAAGATGATGCTATTTCTACAGAAAACGTTTCTGATTAATAACATTGCATGTTTTGTGATTGTCTTTTCGTATTTTTAAACAGTAAACAGAATATATATCAATTTCTTATTGAATACAAACGTAAAATATAACTTACGTTTTCTCGAAGTAAAGCAGTCTTATTTACACTATATTTACAGTCTCTTGTGTTTTACACATTGATGTTTGTAAAACTCCATGCGATTTAAACTTTTCATAAAGTGGACTTCCTTTAAACACAACATACGAAAGTATTGCTTTCGTGTAATAGTCCGACATTAGTTCCAAATTTCTTATAACTGTTGATAAAAGATGCGCTTTTTCCACATATATTCCTACATGAAAAAATAATATACTGTAAGTTAAAATATCCATTCTAAAATTACTCATAAAATAATATATACATATCTGTTATTTTTATAATCCTCTACCTGGTGCCTCAAACATAAGATAGCAGAAATGCACATGTAGATAATAGTATGATGGCTGATAATGGAAATATATTCTGAGCTGAGACACAGGTATGTTAAACTTTTTACTAATCGCTGCCGTTCCAGCATCTCGTATATTTTTTAATAAAGGAAGATGAGACCCATTCAACTCTCGCAATGATCTTATTTTTTTAAATGGCAATGCCAATAACTTCAATGTATCCATCTGTCTATCCCATTTAAAATCTGTTACTAATACAAAACCATTATCCCTGTCAGGGTCCTCGTAAATAATACTTTCTTGTTCAGCTTTATGCTCCAAAATATTAGTAATCCACTGAAAAAGAGAAAGAAACAATATAGAAATAAAATATGCTTTCTATTTAAATAATCTTCAAAATTATGTCAAATCAATGTTAATTTTAAATAAACTATACCTCCAAACTCAGACTCATTGACTCAATGTAAGGGAGAGTGACCTGCTGATAAAGTTCATAGGTTTCATCTATCACATACAATTCTTGTCTTTTATATTTATCGATGTGTGTTTGAGAAGCAGGATATATCACAGTCACGTGTAAACCTTGAAAAATAAAATTTATTACTTTATAAAATAACAACTAATCCATTAAAATACATGAAAAATCGATAGATTAATATACCATTATTTTCCTTGATTGGAAAACAATTGTAATTTTTATAGACATCATTGGTGAATATCTTTCGAAAGATCGTCTTTCCATCGAAGAAATCTTTCTCCAAGACCATCTTGTCATGAGGAAAACTCTTTTGCTCAAGCAGAACGACTGCCTGACCCTCACGATTCTCGAATGTCCCTTCCATGCATATCAACTTTCGAGCACAGTTATTCTGCAACACTCTAGTCACTTTGAAATCTGATAGATTCAGTTCTGTCTCACTCGTGTCATTCTCGTCAAAATTTTTCTCAATTACGTCGCTGCTTCCGTCATCCAATTTGATTTTCTTCACTGGTGAATAATCTCCGTCGTTTGTGCTTGCACATTTCTCCGCCATACTTGTTACTTTAATATAAAAAAAATCTAAAAATAGAATGAAGAACTGTATTAGATGCGAGACATTGACGTAAACATTAGTCTTTTGCAGTAATATAGAAAGATTAAGATATGTAAGGAGTTTTTCTTTACACTATCGTTGTATATGCAAAAAGCTTTTTACCAGTGATCGTAAGAAAATCCGCTGTTCCTTTTTTTTCTCTTATAAATCCTTCTTTTGGTACAGTGATTTAATAAATACTTGTTATTGTTCAATCTTTGTTACAATTTTCTTAATCGTGAATGAGATTAGATAGACCGATAGATAAAATTGGCAGGTATTGCGATGATTCTACTCGACAAGACTTTGCACGTGCTTCTTTTAATAAAAGTTCCATAAATGAACCGATGTAAACACTGGTAAGCACAATAATCGATTATCAATAATAGAAGTCGAAAGAAATTGGAGGAACGAGAAATAATAATCATAATAACTAGGCCGGTATACGACCTATGAGAATGCAATCTGTAGATATGAACAGAGAAACAATTCCCTTTAGGTTTGTTCTTTGTATATATTGAACACTATTTTTCACTTTTCTCTCTTTCTCTTCAATGAATTACTATCTATTTTAAACGCAAAAAAAAAAAATACTAAATAATGTTGATCAAAAATTTGTTTCCTCTAGCTTCCATTTCTTCCTATTTCATAGGTCTGTTCTTTTTAATTGAATATTTTTCAAAGTTCAGTGCATATTCTTTTTTTTCTCTAATGTGAAAAGAAAAAAGTCTGTTTTTTTGGCTGAACTCCTGCACAGTTTCTTTTTTTCCTTTTATAATTTGTTCCTTTTTCCCCTCAATAATAAAAAGAAAAAAAGGTTTCTTCTTTTCAATTTAATTTCTTGCATAGTTCTTTATTTTTCTCTACAATGTGAAAAGAAAAACGAGAGAAAATAAATTTAAAGTTCTATAATAGAGCCGGTATTCATAGTCGGATCTATTAAGAAAATTAACCAACTAGAGTCCTTTATTTTACAAAGAAGGAAATAAAGGACTTTGATTAGTTCATTTTCTTATACCTCATGTGCAAGAGTCTGTGTTGTCCACTTATATTTATGACTTTCTAGCGTTTTCTCTTAGCTGCACTATCGTTCATTAGTGCAACACTCATAGCTCCGGCACACTAATGCGATGTTCGTCGCACGTGACACGCGATATCCAATGACAATATACCTTTAGAAGAGAATAGAATGAGAATATCGGTAAAGCTGTACACTCATTGGATATTGCGCGAACATCGCATTAGTGTGCCGGAGCCATGAGTGTTGCACTAATGGGCGATAGTGCAGCTAAGAGAAAACGCTATAAAAAAAAAATAAAGATTATAAATATAAGATTACATGGAACGCGGTACGCGATACGCGATACAGAAATGAACTAGATAACTATAGAAATCGCACAAACCGTGCCGTTTGTTTTTTTTCTCTTCTATTACACGTAGCGCGGTAAAGGACTCCGTATAATAAAAGGAACAGAGAATAAGAATTTCATGTGAAATACACAATTTCTGAGAGGTTGAAATTCTTAAGGCTCCTGCATATTGGACGCGAAAATGTTTGTCGCGCGGCAAAATGTGATGCGATAGCCAATAAGATTACAGCTCCTAACATGTTCATTGGTTACCGCGTCTCATTTTGTCACTATGTCCAATGAGTACATACAACTTTACCGATATTTTCATTCTAAAGATTTATTTTCATTGGATATCGCGTTGGTGTGCCGAGCCATAAACGGTACGAGCTAGTAACAAATAAATTTTAATATGAATTTTTTTAAATATATTAACTTATTTCTATGCTAAACACGCTTAAATATTCATATATAATTATATATGAAATATATCCATACATATTCATACATCCTCTATTATTATCTAAAATTACTTTTTAGTATAATAAAACTAATAAAAATAATAATGTGAAAATATAAAAAATAATTGAAGGGATAATTTTCGCATTATTTGTTTTAGAACAAAACAAGTTCGAAAAAAATGTAAAAAAAATTGCTCATACATAATTTTATATATAATTATACATAAAAATTTTTTTTCATTTCATTAAACTTGATTTTTTTCTAAAACAAATAGTACGAAAATCATCTTTTTAATTATTTTTAATGTTTTCACATCACTATTATTATTTCTATTACACTAAAAAATAATTTTATAAAAGAAAAAAGGATATATGAACATGTATGGACATATTCCATATATAATTGTATATATTTATGAATATTCATGCGTGTTTATGTATATTCATGCAAAAAAATTGTCCGAGTACGTGTTTCGCGAGAAAAATTTGAGACTTTTTTTCGTAAAGTTATTCACGCTTGTAAGTTGTTATATCGAAACAATTTATAATCGTACAAAAAAAAAATATAATGGAGACCAATTTTAAAAATCTTAAATTGTTCTATGAATTATAGGTTACTTTATCATTTTCATATAAATAAATTATTTTTTCTATTTGTTTATAATTTTTATTAACATTTTTCATCATCAACTCACTAATTAACAAATTTTATTGAGAGTACAAATTAGTTCGGTCCGTTCAAAAATGTATTTATTTCAAAACAAAATGAATGAACAGATCAATTAAAGTATTGTCCATCGCTGTTTACTACTTTTTTCTATCTCTCAGGCAATTTTCGAATTCCATCTCGAAAAATGACTCGTCTTTGGAGGTGATCCAATTTTGGGGCCAATTTTCGATTTCTGTGAAAGAAATGAACCGGTGACTTGCTGCATCCTTCGGAACAATCAGTAATTAGAAGGAGCAATGTCCGGAGAATACGGCGAGTGGTGCGATAAAAACATCCCATTTGAGCATTTCCAAATATTTTTTTACGACTTTAGCGACATGAGGCCGAGTGTTGTTATGAAGAAGAATAATTTTATCATGTCTTTGTTCGTATTTTGGCCGTTTTTTTCACAATGCATAAACGAATTGTAGTCGATACCGATCGCCCGTAATGGAATCGCCAGATTTCAGCAGTTCATAGTAAACAAGACCCTTTTGATCCCACCAGATACAGAGCATGATCTTCGAACCATGAATGTTCGCAAGTGAAAAATCGCCTTTCAACGTCTCTCGGTTTCAGTTCATAATTTCCTTATTTTTGAATCATTCTCATGGCTCTCAATCATACAGAAACGGCTTGTTGAGTTACCCCCAATGATTCTGCAAGCTCCTCTTGCGTTTGACTCTGATCTTCTTCGAGTAATGCCTCTAATTCTTTCTCTTCGAATTTTTTTGGCTGTCCAGAGCGAGGCTTGTCTTCAACGCTGAAATCTCCATCCTTGAAATGTCGAAAACATTCCCTACATTTTTATCAATTGGAGTAGTGTCACCATAAACTTCAACAAGCATTCAATGGACTTCAGCCGCACTTTTCTTCCAATTAAAGCAGAAAATCAAAACCTCCCGCAAATGCTGCTTAGTTAACATAAAATTCGACATTTCAAACACAGTAAAAATCAAGGTTTTTGTACGAAACTCAAAGCGATAAACTGAATATTATTAGCAGATGTTTAACCTTTCTGAAACCGCCAAAATCAGCTGTCACTATGAATCATTCACAACAGCTGGAGCTATTTTTAGGGAAACGGACCGAACTTTGTACTCCCAATATAAAAATCATTATACATTTCCTTCAATTATGCGAAGTAACTCTGAAAATTTCAAAATGGAACTCGAATGAACTGTACAGTTAAAAAATTCTATGTGATGGCGCATACGTATGCGAAACCACGTCGTTACATAATAGAATTTTTTTAACTATACAATCCATTCAAATGTTTCATTATCAACTTAGCGATGCAGATGCGTGGATATATCGTGCGAATTTCTAGTTTGGGCGCATCGAGAAAAAGGCGATATATTTCTAATATTTTCATATAATAAAAATAAAATCTTGTTTTCAACATCTTTAATATCAAACATGTTTGATGTCAAACGATGTTATTCACACAATGTTATTCACACATTTGTTTTATATCGTTAAATAATTTCTCATAAAGTTAAGAACTAGTTATATTGATATACATCTTTATGAAACTAATATTATCTGCAGTTTCTTACTCTTAAAATGTTTTTCTTTAAATTCTTTCATGCTGACGCATGACGCTCATTTTAGCGTCAAAATAGATTATGTAATAAAAATTGACGAAAATCAAGCAATTTTAATTACGATTTATTTTGATGCTAAAAATGAGCGTCACATAAAAAAATTTAATTACTTAATTAATTTTAACAATCACATGACTTTCTGCTTTTCTAAGTGCCGCTCGTCTTTAATTCAGTATTTCATCGGTGATATAATATTTCTACCTATAATATTCTAAAGTTTGTGTATAGTAGATAACGCGGTGAATTTTTCTTTAAAAAAGGAGTTCGTTGTAATACATTTGTCTAATATATTTTGTTCTCTCTTCATTATATGCCTCATGTTTTAATTTGTTAATTTACATCAATTAAGACCGAATTTGAATATACCTGCCATGAAAAGACGTGACGTAATCATCTCGTCGGTAAAATCAGTCATTGTAACGCTACTTACCGACCACAAGGTACGTCACGAGCCGGCATATTTTTGTGCTCGAAGGTATCTTACGTTCAAGGTAAAAATATGGATTCTTTCGTAATAGTTCGAAGGAATCTGTACGGTGCTTAAAGTGATCAATTCGGGAGCGAGGTGTTGATTTCTGATTCGCCCTGTTGCGACCTTTGCTGCAACGTAAAGAGCATCAACCGTCTGAACAAAATCTCAAGCGATGCTGCAAGTGGACGATAGAAAGGTAAATTTCGAACTCTCTGAAGTATTTCTCTTGTCTATATTACCCGTCATTTATCCTTCCTGTTATCGCGCGTCTCTCCACTCTTTTACATATTCTTGTGTCACATAATTGTTTCTTATTTGTTTTTTACTTATTAAGGGCAGACCTTAACAAGACTTTGACAAAGTTATAAAAAGTAGCAATGTTTCATCTGGCATCTGTTCTCCAAACAAATGACGAAATCTTCTGATTTTCCTTGTGCTGATTTCGCTTCCGGCTACCGAATACATCCCTGTGGATTTGTATTGAGGTTATGCTCGATGTTTTAGCTGGCATTTTAACGCAGTTGAAACTTATCTTGCGATGATGTATCTCTGTTATCTTGAGATGACCTAGAACTCAAGTCCGATTCACTTATGTCCGTTTCCTATCAATGTAGTTTAATTTTAATCTTAGTTCGACTAAGTCTATCTTTTTCTAGTTCCGAGAATTAGAAAAAATAAAGAAAGTTAACTAAGATTAAAGTTAATATACATTAATACGAAACGGACATTAATTAGCGATTAATTTATCGAATAATAACAATAGGATGAGTATAATGACTCAATTATTATGTAATATTATTTCCAGCGTAAGTAAATCTATTAATTTTTTATTTCTATGGAAATAAGAAAGATTAAAAACGAAAACTTTTATGATCGCAGATTTTGCTTGGAACAATTAAGGCCCGGTTCTACCAATATAAAAGCAACTTTAATTTACTGTTCATCTTTTTCTAATTCTTGTAATTATAAAAATATAGAATAAGTTAAAAATCTGGGATCGCAACTTAAACGAGTGATTCTCGTAAATTTCTCTTTTGTAAATGCAATATCGGAAGATTTTTTACACGACATCTTATCCTTTACATTAAAAAAAGCATATACAAAAGATCAAAAAACGCGCAATTCATTACAGGTTTAGTTATTTAAATCATGAGATAGCTTTAATTTTAATCGGAAAATTTTACATTTTTTTTATATGACTAATGATATAATAATTATTTAAATGTTTGCAGAGATATTTTTTATAAATTTACAAGTCAATAACTTCACAAAATTATTTCACATTTTTTTCGCGACATGCGAATCTTATCTTTGTCTGTAGGTAGATTAGCAAATTAAAAAAAAAAAATAAAATGATGTTTCAAAGGTTGTTTGTCGAATGTCTTATAGATTGTAAGTATTATATTAATAAAGTCATTTAAAGAGAAAACATGTAAAATATTAGCTTACTTTCAATGGTATGTGCAAATTAGTACAAATTTATGTTAATTTTTGCCCTTATGTTGTTTTTTTAATGGTCATGCCAGTTTAAATATTAAACTGGTAGCGCCACTGCTTTTTTGAAAATGACATGATGTAGAATTGTTTTTGGCAGTGCAAAATAATACAAATTCAATCCTATTGATTTCTGATTATTTTTCTTTTTTTCTTTTATTTTGAATTAATCCTGCCAACTTAATATTAAGCTAGCACTGCCACGATTTTTTTCGAAATAGCACACGATACAAAATTATCATAATAGTACAATTTAATACAAAACGAGTACTAAAAATTTCGATAAGTTCGATTTGATTCTGCTGATTTGGTCCTGCTAGCTTTATAGAGCTGAAAATTTTTATGTAATGTATGTATGTACATACATACACACGACATACAAAAAATTTTTATTTTTTGCTTTAGGGAAAAAGTTAGATGATCACTCAAGTTCAACTAATTGGCTGAATCGATCGATTTCGGGACGATTTTTTTTTTTCACGGCAGTTTTTTTTCGCATTTAATCATTGACATTACACATAATTAAGTTCGTCTTTTCAACAAATTCGCCATTTATTCCGGACTCATAGATAAAGTCGTATATTTATACAGTGTATGTATATTTATACGTTATCGTATAGATATGCATACATTGTAAAAAATAAATTAATTTTAACTTAAAGACATACAGTAGACTTTTTGAAACATGCAAAAATGTTAAAATGAACATTTTTTTGTTAATTTTAACATTTTTACATCAGAAAGCCTACTGTGTCTTTAAATTAAAATTAACATTTTATTTTTTATAGTGTATGACTATCTTTTTCATGTACTTGAAACGCATAATACCTGATAAATAATTTATGGCACAAATTCGTTAAATATATTTTATTTATATGATGAACATTTCTCGCAATTACGAGTTAAAAACGCAAAATATGCAGAGTAATGAAAAAAAAAAAAAACATAAAAGAATATATAATTTTTCTCATCATTATATTATCGTTAATACGAAACGTATTGG